TTTTACAGACAGCTTTTTGCCTTTACCCTCACGAAACTGACCCAATACAGGACTCAGGAGCAGATTGCTAACCAACATCCAAACACCGCCCTTAAAAGTTTTGTTCATGACACTTTGTAAAAACCTGATTTTGACACAGCATTTGTTTAGTGTGTGATGAAGTGTTCTTGCTGCAGCTTTGACTGCTTTCTTCCATCACAACAGCAACTACAACAATAGGTGCCTCCAGTAGACAACTCACCATGTGCTCATTTCCAGGAAACTTTGCCCTATTTGTATAATGGAATGCTAAAGATTTGTCTCTAGGTTGGAATCTCTATGCAGAAGACCTCATGTTTATCATGTTGTGATCAGACCACATAATATCAGCCTGATAATGGACCTGACAGCTCTGAAGCACCAGGCAACAGAAATGAGTGTGGGATTCGCCAGTGGCTGGTTTGCCTAATGTGTCAGAGTGGAAGATGCCCGGTGCAGTATCAGCACAAAAAGACGAGCATGTCTGTCATCTAGTTTGACAACTCCTACAGCGTGTAATATGACAAAAGGAGTGATGTTGTTGGTGCTGTCAGGTAAAACAGTGAAGTCAGTCCTTGACACCTTACCTGTCATCTCTGTATGTCATATAAGTTGTGAAAGATTGCAAGCTATGATCGATCAGGGCCTAAAATGACCATCCAAAAGGCCAAAATAGAATGAACAGTGTAATATAATGTTGACTTGTAGTGTTTGCTTTTGTCCTTTTTTTTGAGTAAATCTCCATTGGGCATATCTGGTTTTTAAATGTATGACACTATATATACTTACTTATATATACTTTTTACCTGCACATTGTCTTGTGATTTCAAGTGAGGAATAAGGATTTCTATACACATCTAGTCTTGACCTTAAGATTTTTACCATCTCGGTCAAAGTGAAGTAATTGTGAAAGAAAACATAGGGGACATTTGGTGTGTTGGTATCCATCACAGGTGCGCACTCTGACCAGGACGGATGAGGCTCGAGGTCTCCTGTGGCTGATGGAGGAGGAGGCCGTTCAACCTGGAGGTTCAGAGGAAACCATGCTTGAAAGACTCTTCAGCTACTATGGCTCTGTGCAGGGAGAAAACAAAGGTGAGTACTCAACCTGTCACTGCCTGCTAAAGCAATCAACTGTAGGTTTCTAGAGTTTGCAGGAACCACAGACAGTACTGATCATACTCCTGACATCGTGGGGTATAATGGGAATATTTCCTATGTGTTGCAGGAGCCAGTTTGCTGCTACGAGGAGAGAGGCCCCATCTCTTCCTGTTGGGCCACAGCCATGGGACAGACTGGGTGGAATACAATGCTCAGGGCTGGCTGAGCCATGCCAAGCACAACCCTGCCGCCCAGAATGCTGCCACACTGCTGCAGGACTCCCAGAAGTATGACCACTCACAGCAATAACACACATGCAGCACCCAGTTTATTTTAGCTGATTCTGTGACAACCAGTTATCAGTGCTCTGGTGTTTATATGCTGCACATCCATGTGTCAAACAGTGTTTCTAAAAGTATGCTGTCTTGTCTATAATACCATTTTTTTTAATGCAAAGAGCAAAATATGAGTAGTGGCATCATTCAAGTTGAAAATCTTAACTGATGTACATTGTATAATTTGATGAGAAAAAAATGATGTAACAATCTTCAGTGGAAACCAAAATCATCACCCCACTGAGGACTGGATTCAAAATCACACTTAAAATCAAAGTAAAAAATTAAAATCACAGGCTGATCCAACTTGCCTGAATTTTATCACGGCAGCTCATAATGTGACTCAGGTGTGTTTGGCCCCCATGTGCCTGTATGAACTTCTGGGCATGCTCCTGATGAGTCAGCGGATGGTGTCCTGGGGGATCTCCTCCAGACCTGGATCAGGGCATCAGTGAGCTCCTGGACAGTCTGTGGTGGTACTTGGCTGCATTGGATGCACCAATGCATAATGTCCCATCGGTGATCAATTGGTTTTAGGACAAGAGAACAAGAAGGGCATTAACGTCTTTGTCATCCAGGAACTGCCTACATACTCTGGCCACATGAGGTTGGGCATTTTCCTGCACCAGGAGGAACCCAGGGCAGCGGCGTAAGGTCGGACAGTCGCTCTGAGGATTTCATCCTGGTACTTAACAGCAGTCAGGGTACTGTTGGCTATGTCTGTGCGACCATCCAAGGATAAGCCTCCTCAGACCATCACTGACCCACCGCCAAACTGGTCATGCTGAATGATGTTACAGGCAGTATAACTTTCACCATGGCATCTCCAGACTCTTTCATGCCTGTCACATGTGCTCAGTGTGAACCTGTTTTCATCTGTAAAGAGAACAGGGTGCCAATGGAGAACCTGCCAGTTCTGGTGTTCTCTAGTGAATGCCAATCGAGCTGCATGTTGCTGGGATGTGAGCACAGGTCCAACTAGAGGACGTTGTTTGAATAAGGGACACAGCAAACATTCTTGCGTTTGTAGTATGGATGTGCCATCCTGGAGGAGTTGGACTACCTGTGCAACCTGATTGGGCTGCAGGTACTGTCTCATGCTACCAGTAGTGACAAGGACACTAGCAGGACACAAAACTAGTGAAGAATCAGTCAGGAAGGATAAGGAGAGAGCAACTGTCTGTGGCCACCACATGTAAAACATTCCCTTTTTGGGAATTGTCTTGTTTTGCCTCTCCATTGCACCTGTTGTCACTTTCATTTGCACCAAAGCAGGTTAAACTGATTCACAATCACTTGTACTTCCTAAATGGTCAGATTGATATAACTGAGGTTTAACTGACTTAGTTATACTGTGACCATTAAGTGTTCCCTTAATTTTTTTTGAGCGGTGTATATATACTTTTTAAATGAAGAAGTTAAACAATAAATCATTAAAGGAGCAGTTCACCAAATTTACAAAAACAAAAAATATTCTTTCACTCAGCTCCTGTGGTATCTATCCATGCAAATGGTTTTCTCGTGGTCACTGTTCTGTTCAATAATGCTAACTGCAGTGTGTGTATTACATAGGTTATCACTTAAAATTGTGTGTACAGTTATTCATTCATTCTTTCATTCATTCAAACCTTTATTTAAGACTCGGAGAATCAATTGAGCGAGACACTAATTTTCAATGATGCCAAACAAACACGAACAAAGACATTAAAAACAGTCAATAAGCATCATCATGCATGTCAATTAAAATAGATATGAAATCATACAAAACAAAACAACAATAGTAATAAATGATTACTAAAAGTAGAGTGAGGTATATAATTAAAAGCATTTACACTCAATTAAAACAAGATCAGAAATAAGACATTAAAGCTGGCATGGAGTCCAAGTTTAAGGTCTTGCAGATTATTCCATGTATGTATAAGATCTTTCTAGTTCAGTTCTGATTACGGGAGTGTCGAGCAACAACCTATACTGTGAACGAGTACCAAGATTATGTGAGGTCAGAGTTGAGCGGTAGACAGCATCCAGTGATTTTAATGTAGAGGTAGCAGCTTTTCTGTATATAACATCCCCAATGATCAAAAGATCATTGTAGACAGAATAAATCTCATTAAGTTGTTCATCTTAAACTACTGTATATCTTAATAAATTTAGAATGAATGTCTTGCTAAATTAATACATGATCTACCTTTATTATATACTTGTCAATAGCAAGTAATCCAAATCAAATTCAGATCTTCAGTACCCATAATGAAAAAGTGAGAGCCACAGTTTGAGAGCAGCAGGCTACAGAATGAGCCAAATGATACAGGGAGTGTCCCACCAACATATGGGTTTTCAAACTGCACAATATGCCACTAAAACAGATTAGCTTCCTGTATATTGTTGTATCAATAACTGCCTGATGTTGTGAGGAAGAAAGCACGTCCTGTTCGTCATGTGCATGCATTTAAATGCAATTCATTCTTCTGCCACCACAGGAAGAACATTAGTGGGCTGTTTATGGGCCGGGCCAGTGGGGCCACAGTGCTGTCAGGCTCCATCGCTGGTCTGGAGGGCAGCTCCCAGCTCGCCCTGCGACGAGCCACCAGCATGAGGAAAACCTTCACTACAGGTGTGGCTGCTGTCAAGAAGAAGAGCCTGTGTATCCAGGTCAAACTCCAAGTGGTAAGTGGAGGAGAGAACATTCTTTATATTAGTATGTAGAGCTTGGTAACATCACATAATTCCCTGCATAGTTCCACCCAGCTTTAACTTAACTAGAAGTCTGATCAGCTATAGGAATTCACAACAGCGGTGTGGGTGTGCATAGCCTTCAAGAAAAAAACTTGAGTTGTTTACTTAGCTACTGTAGATTGTTAATTGCTGGTTTGTAGTCTTGCACAGACAGCCACAATGTAAAGAGAGTGTTCAATTAATCTATGAGAAGAATCATGAAGATGTTGCATGGACTATTTTTCAGGTGCTCTGAAAAGCATTATGTCTGAGTCACCTCCTCTCTGTTTTTAGGATGCTCTGATTGATATGGTGCGTCGTTCCAGGGTTCACTTCGTCCACTGCCTGCTGCCCAAAGCAGAGGCAGTGGGTGGTGGAGGTGAGCCCCGTGTGACGCATGGGGAGAGCCCTGACTCGGGCCTTATGACTTTGGACGTGGGCCTCCTGAGAGCTCAGCTTCGAGGATCCAAGCTGCTGGATGCACTGCGCATCTACAGGCAGGGTAAGAAAGTACTTGTGGAAATGTTGCATTTATTTTCTCTTTAATCTAAATAATATAATAATAATAATAATGATAATATAATCTGTTTGACATTAAAATGATCAGTTTACAGAGGAATACTACTCTGGAACAGCTTTGTTTAGTCTGAGAAAATAATAATATGATAGTGATGTCATCATGGTTATCTGGGATGGGACCTGCATTACAGACTTAGGCTATACAGTTTGAATGATGCGAACATTTGCAGGCAGTCAGACATAATGAAAAGATATTGTTAGTTGCATGATGGGGAAGGTAGAATCTGGTGAATCTTTTAGCTTGACCCATACCTGGACTGTGGCCTAAATGGAACTGCTTTGAATTGATTTTAATCCTACCTGGAACAGAGTGTTCAAAGCAGCAGTTGCCCATCTACAGTTGGTGCAGAATGCAGGAGCAAGGCTTCTGACAAACACTAAACACTGACAGCATATATCTCCAGTCCTGACTGGATAACATTGGCTTGTATTTCTGATCTTTCAACTTATCTTGTTCCAAGATCCCACATATTACTCCAATTTATGTCCTCATTTATTTTGTTTGAATTATTTTATGTTTGACCTTTCCATATGAAATTCTTGTTATATTTCAGTGTACTGTATTATGTGTAATCCTGTGAATAATTTTCTTGTGGTTATAAAAGGTGCTATGCAAAAAAAGTTTACTGGCTCACTATGCAAAAGGAAAGTCAGCATATTTGCATTGTTGCTACTTTGATTTTGACCATGAATCCCAAATTTTATGTATATACAATGCAAAATCACAGTAGTAGCCATCTGTATTCGTGATATGATATAAAAGCTAGTGTCTTAAAATTTGAAGGATATCATTAAACTCTGATCTTAGCTTTACGCCGGATTTCCACTGGATGCGTGTCCGTTGTGGAATGGCAGAGCTGGTTATACCACTGCATGCTCCGCCGTCCGTCAATACCCACCGGCTGCGTTTGCTGTGCGGAGCGGTGCAGCTCCGCCTGAAGACATCTCAGTGTACTGCCATGATTAACATCATCTCGTCCATGGTGTCAACGGGATGAAATGACGTCTGAAAACCTCTGACCTGTTGACTTCAGGCCTGCCTCTGCCCATTATGTAGTTTTCAAGGTGTAGTGCAGGGAAATATGATCCGCCGTGAACACTGTGTATTCTATTTTGAAAATTAACCGGATGTTTTATTTTGTTTCTGTGCACGACTTCCTGCCCTTTACGATCTGCTCTGTGCTAAATTGCTGCGTTGTGCTCCGGCGTCCAGCAAAAATAGAAGTCCTGCGTATCTGTTGCGGGGGGCTCTGGAGTGCTGGAGCTGAGACGGAGCTGGAACACTGGACAGCTGCAGCTGGTGGAAACACACACATTGACTAGAATTGAATCCTATTGGCTCCACTGCCGTGCCAGAGTGGAGACGCAACCAACATGCATCTGGTGGAAATAGGCCGTTACTGTCTGATACAGATGTTATAGTTTTCTCTTCTAACCACCCAAAATTCCTCAAGCTTAACCTGCTCTCATCTGTCGTTGTGATAATGTCAGTAAAATACAAACTCAATACTTTCTTTCTTTTCTTGACCAAATCATTTGAACCCAGTAATGAATTAACCCTCCAGAGACAGAGTATCTGAAATGGTTCCGATAACCTGACCCATTACTGTTCCCATCAAAAGGACCAATTTCATCTTCATTCAGAAGTGTGTGCTTTTATATCCTGTAGCCCCTTTTCCCAATGTAAAAGTCTCTACTCTTGCTGTTAGTGCCTCTCTAAAGGCTCAAGAAACCCTTGTAACCTCGAACATTTCCATCTATCAAACCTTCACCATGTTTTCTTTTTTTGGCTGCAGTTCTCCTGAAAAAAAAAGTTGACTGCTGTCTTGTGGTTGGCTCTCCATTTGCTGCAGATGCTCCTCTAACCTTGGTGTTTGGTGTTTTTGTGCTCTCCCCTCTGTTCTGCTCCCTCCCCGCCTCCAGGATACCCAGACCACATGGTGTTTTCTGAGTTCCGCAGGCGCTTTGATGTCCTGGCACCACATCTGACCAAGAAGCATGGCCGCCACTACATTGTCACAGATGAGAAGAGGGTGAGTGCTTGGCAGGGTTAGACTGTTACTTTGGAGAGCTGTATTGTGTTGCTGGATCATGTCTGCTGATATGATGGAAACTAAGGCATTAAAAATGCATTAGACACAGGTATGATTTCAATTGTTGTAGAAGTTTTCATGGATTTGAAAGGGCAGGGCTTTTTACGCCTCTGCATTGGCGTTAGCTGTGGCTGGAAGTATTATATTTTTGGCTTGTCCATTCTCGTGAATGCCATATCTCGAGAGCAACTTGAGGGAATTTCTTAAAATTTGGCACAAACATCCACTTTGAGTCAGGATGAACTGATTTGAATTTGGTGGTCAAAGGTCAAGGTTACTGTGACCTTGTTTGTCGCATTCTCATTCTCAACACAGTATCTCAAGAAGACCTTGAGGATGTTTCTTCAGATTTGGCACAAACATCCACTGTGACACTGTGACCTTGCATCTGCCTCATTTGGTGAATGCGATATCTCAAGAACGCCTTGAGGAAATTTCCTCAATTTGGCACAAACATCCACTGTCAATTCTTATCCATTCACAAATGAACGGATTAGATTTTGGTAATTGTATGTCAAAGGTCAAGGTCACTGTGATCTCACAAAACATGTTTTTGGTCACAACTCAGGAATTCTTACGGTAATTATGACAAGATTTCACACAAATGTCACATAAATAATAGGATACAATGATGAAGTGATGACATTTTGTATCCAAAAGGTCAAAGGTCAGCTTCACTGTGACATCATAATGTTCCACAAAAACACTTTTCTGGCCATTAGTCAACATCAAAACTCATGAACAGAAGGGGAGACATTTGGTCAGATACTGAATTGGTAATGCTAATCTGGGTGTCCACCTTGAAACTGTGTGAAACAGCCATGTTTTCACTGTTTATGTTTTTTTTCTCAGTGACAGCCAGTCCAAGAGAACTGACAATGTGCTAATCTGTCTCTCAACCTTGTATATGGCTCTAAGCCCCAACTCATTGGTTCAAATTGGTACAAATATATTTGTGAGCTGAGTTTGACTTTCTTTTAATAAGACTGAGTAATTTCCTAAAACTTCTAGTCACTGTAGTTTTGATCAAACAAACGTAGTGCATTTGTTGGGGACTAATTTGGCAGGAGATAAATCCACATTTGGTGCTCTGGTGAGTGTTTGTGGCAGCAGGACAGTGTATGTGGGTTCAAGTCAAAATAAACTAAAGTGTGTGTGTTCATGGCAAAAGGACTATATCACCCAGTGATGCAGTGTGAGTCATTGATGTGTTTTTTATAATTTTATTAATGGAGCTCTATGGCACAGAGGAAGAAGATTTATCAGGCTTTCATACACACAATACTTAGATAGCTACGGTCACTGTTGGTTTGAATCTGCATTTGAAATTTGTTGAGAGTTAAACAAATATAGAACACTAATCTTATCCCTATGTGCTTATGTACATACATGGAAGACATACGTACACGGGGGACCTTCCATACCCTGTACATGACCCTATTAACCCACTTATAGTCTCTATATACAGACTCTACATTCAGTGAATGTAGAGTCTATAGGCAAACCCCGGAGATCTTGCCTCCGGAAGAAGAGCGGAAGAGCCCTGGTTTCCGGTTGTAGGCTGTTTGTAGTCCATGTGATATTGACCAATCACGTTTGAGCCGGCTGCAGTTGTTGCCAGGTTGAACGGTCCGTGCGGTGAACTAACGAGGCGGAACACAATTGGCATCACTGCAAACTCTGAATCCATTGCAGTGTTTCAGCATATTTACTTATATATAAACAGAAGCCGGAAACGGAAATTCGCCTCCTCCGCCCAAATCAAACCGTAATGCCAAAAAATCGGGGGCCTGCCCCCAGAGGCTGTATCGCCGTCTGCCGGAAGTCAGACGCCGAATACGGCCGATGGGTTCTGAGAACCCACTTATAACTGGTCCATCTGAGATTATTGCATAGAGAAAAACCTGCATCTGCCACAGAGGTGGATACCTTTAGTAACAGACAAATGGATGTTCGGTTGCTTATTTAAAATTGTTTATGTTTTGTTACTCTACCTACTCATAATCTAGAGTACTAAAACCTAGGGCTGCATGATTAATCGTAATAAAATCGTGATCTTGATTCATATGCATATGCGATCTAATTTTTTAATGACGGATGATTCTGCCGGTCCCGCCCGTGCCGGGAGTCGGTACATCATCTGCATGAAAACAAGCACTCCCAACAACGCAGCGTTATACCACGTGATGCAGAGCGACAGCCGGCCGGCAGTTTGGAAAGCAGCGAGAGCAGGAGAGAGCCGACAATATGAGGAGGACCCCTTACAAGTCATCCTCTCAGTCCTTAGCCGCTAACGTTAGCTCATGTACAACACAGGTACCACACAGAAACTTTTACAAAGGGTCATAATGTGCTTCTAGTGACTGTCAAATCGCCAGCGAAAGTTGTTTACAATGCGGACATGGAGAGCAGCAGTGCCTGCTCTCATGGGACAAAGATCCTCTGAGAAGAAAGACAGTTCACTCTGCTCTGCAGCCAGGCACAAACTGGGAGGCAAAGATCCTCTCTGAGGAAGAGGGTTCACTTTGCTGCAGGGTTCACCAAAATGTTTTTTTGTTTATTTCCTTTTAATAAATTGAACACACATATCAAAGAACATATAAGATTCTGTAGAGAATTAATACATATAATACAATACAATAAACACTGTCAAATCAAGGAAGATTATTTTTTTTAAAGGCAAATAAAATATTAGGGATTTATGTGAAAATATACATAGAGACATATAAATAATTATATAATTAAAGATATATAGGCTATGTTAGGTGAATACTCCTGTCAAATGAATGGTGTTGAAACATTTAATTTTGATCTTCCTTAGTCCATTTAGACTTTATTTTATCATAACAATAACAATGAATATTATGAATTGTTCACATTTTAATTCAATTTTAATAACATTTATCACACAGCATTTTGTGGAAAAGTCAAATGTTCAGTTTACAGTTTTAATAAACTCAGTACCGTTTTTTAACACATATTGTTTTGTCTTCATTCAATGTAATTAGCACATATTGTTATTGCGCCATTGGTTTTGGCCTTGGTGCCCCAATAAATTTATTAATCAAAGGCCAAAGTGGCCTTGCCCTAAATGACTTAATTCCAGGCCTGGAATACCTACCTCAAAAAATGTTGTTCAACATTGATATTATTGTTAAAATTGTTCAAAAGCTGTAAGAGAAGACAAGAGACTAAAGTTTATTGTTTTTACGGTCAGTGTCAGGCTGTCAGCTGTTGCATTTAAGCTAAAAACAGGAGTGTTCCCTCTCTGCTGACCAGAGTTTATGTGCCTTGTGTCTCTTGTATCAGGTACAATCATAGGTTTTGTTATTTAATGATATTTTTTTTTATTATTTATTTATAATTTTTGTTACTTTTCCTTTTGTATCAGGAAATAAGCACAATAAATCTTTATGTTGAAAAAAATCGTGAGAGAATTGTGATCTCAATTATAAGCCAAAAAATCGTGATTCTCATTTTTTCCAGAATCGTGCAGCCCTACTAAAACCCCAGTTCTGCTTCTTTTTTTTAATCCAATGTGTTCATTCTGTATTTATGTTTACAGCAGACACATACACAGAATAATATGCCAATTAATTGTCACTAAAAATGAAAAAAGCAGTGTAACAAATTGTTGGAAAACAAATAAAGAAATTAAACACAATAAATAGAAATATAAGTGCCAATTGTGCACAGCTGGTCTGTACATTACTTAAGTTAGTTATTTTTATTTTAAAACTAGTGCAGTTCTTGCGTGAATTCTTCATTGAAGTATAGGAATGACCTCATCTTTTAGTCTTTGGGTTTTCTGTTAGTGTTATTTTTCCAGTAGGAGAGCTTGACTTCTTTTCTTTCAGATTCAGTCTTTTTACCAACTGAATCTGAGAGATGTTTTCATGGGTTTGTCCAGAACACACTAAGTGAAATATTAATTAATATATTTGGCAATATTAGAGATAAATATAGAATATACAATTTTTCTCCCTTGCTCATTAAGTTACATATAGTACAAAAGGGATCTTAAATATTATATGGTAGGCATCTGGACTTGCTTGAGTTTTTTGAAGACATTTCTCCTCTCATCCAAGAGGCTTCTTCAGTTTAGACAAAAAGGGACACCAACTACAGTACAGTGGGTTCACTTAGCCTGCTAAACCATATCCTAAATGTGTATGTGCATGTTATATCCTACAGCATCCAGATCCAATAACAGCCAGTCTGACTCATCTGACTGCCCTCCGTTATGTGTTTCACCTGCAGATGTTAATCAGTATTCATTGACACTTTGTGTATTGATCCATGATTCAAAGGTCTAGAAAGTCTTGGTTCACAAACTCCCTACCAGACAGTACATTACATGAAAACTTTTGGATGAGATGACATATCAGAACCTGTTGCAGCGAAAAGTTATGCTGGGCCACCTTGTCTTTGCAAGGGTTGCAGTGATATACCTATATATATTATATGTAGAAAAAATTAACACACTTCATCCTGTAAGGTTTAGAAGATTGCTGAAGCCTCTTCTGAGAATTGTCAATTATGAATGTGCCAAAGAATATTCAAGAGGGTAACAAAACCTTCTCAACAATGCACACTTGTAATAATTAGGAAGTTATTTTTTCTTTAAAACTGTCAGATTAAGAGGTACTCCTCCTTTTTTACACATGAAGGTCAGCTTACTCATCATGACTAATATTTCTCAGCCTGTAAAACAGTGTCCTCCGTGGTGCTAGATGAGCTTTGTCCTACAATAATAAAAATAATCCTGACAATGTCATGGGGGTTTTGCTAACCCAAAATTTGGGTAGAATGTTGAAAATCTGGAGATTTGGTACTTCTCTCTCTGCCCTCCACATTCTAATCTCCTGGTGTGAACAGAATCCCTTTATTCCTCTTCTCCTCCTGCTCTCCTCTCTCCGCTGTCCTCTTCCTGTTCCAAG